CACGGAGTAAGGAGAAATGTCTGATAGGACGATGGCGAATGATTTGCAGATCCTGAGCACCAATGACAAACAAATAATCTTGTCTAATATGTGGTAAGTACTGCCGCTCCGTAGTATAGAGTCCTTGTGATCACAAATCTCAAAAGTGAAAGTGAAAGTAATATGAGAGCGCGCAATCGAAAGCGGTTTCAATAGCGGCTCCCTGATGCCCGCAATTTATATACAGTCGCCTATACTTGCCCAACGATATAATTGCGAGAAAAAGTATTGAAATATTTTTTTTTTTATCCTCCCATCTCGTAGGCTATTTATTCCTTTTAGGGTTTCCGTAGTACACTTCATTTCCTTTCCGAACACGGAACTGGGATGTGGCAGGTTGCGGGAGAGGGGGTGGGGGGGGAAGGTTAACATCGTGATGACTGTCAGCCATCGGCGATGGACGATGGCATTGTCTATTGGCCCAACCCTACCGTCCATTAACTGAAAACAGGCTAGACTAATCGATTCTTGGGATTTAAGAATCGATATCGTTTCGTAAAAATGAGAATCGATTAATATCAAGATGTCAATATTTTTTACCCAGCCCTAGTGACCAGTATATAGTCTGATTCTCGAACAAGGCAAGGCAAGTTTATTTATATAGCACATTTCATACACAATGGTAATTCAGAGGGCTTTACATAAAAGGAAGTAAAATAATCATAAAAGGGTCAATGATGTGACGGTAATTTTTTGGTGTCCATGTGGTTTAATTACATTTAAAAGGATTAAAATTTCAAAATAAATGTGCAAATTAATTGCATACATAATCTTTTTTTTTTTTTGTAGACCAAGTCTAAAATTTCTGGTTTTAATTCGTTTTGAAAGAATATTTGGGGGATGATTGCAAAAATGTCAATGTGGTGTAACCGTAAAAACTTTGTACGAAATAATTGATCTTGTTTAAAAAAGGTGAAATTCCACCAATTCAGCTAGTTTGGCATAATCTTACATTAGTACTATTTAATAGTAAATAAAAGTAAATGGAACATCATTGTTCTGAATATTATGTGTCAAGTCAAATTCCTTAAGTGTCAAGGTGGTGTAACCACCATTCAAGGAGCCATTTTGTTAATATTTTGCAAGAAGATCATGTGACAGGAAATTATATCACAGAGAAGGACCTCTGGTAATACTAACTGCTGCATGTAAAGGTTTTTAAAATGTGAGATAATTTGACATTTTTAGGGTATGGTCAGGTATTCTTAGGTATACATGTCAAATGGTATTACCTCAGGAATACATTGATAATTCATCATTATTATAAAAAATGAGTATTAACTTTAAAATTACATTTGAAATATCCCCACCAAGGCCATGTACTTACATAGGTGTCCATGATAATGCCTGTCAAATTTGATTTTAAATTGAAATGTCAAGTGGTGTAACTGGTTACACCATTTGACTCCTATTACAAGCCTTTCTGTTTGGGGCCAATTTAGTCAAATATCACTAGTATATGATGCTGATTAAAGATGAAATATAAACTATCCTACTATTTAAAACTATTTTCAAGTGTTTAATGTTATATTTCTTGAGAAAGTGGTTCTTTATCTACAACTTTATTATTAAAGCTCTGTAAGTCTAGGATAAAATAATTATGTTGCACAACATTAGTGTTTTTGAAATGTTTAGCGTTAATGCATATTTCTATTCCATTCATTTGAAATTTTAAAGGGATAGTTCACCCAAGAATGAAAATAAAGGATTTTGTAAGCAAAATATCCATATTTAAAACGTTATAAACTGTAATCTCTAGCTTCCGCTAACTGTCGTACACTCGTTCACGAGTAGGGTTGTAATGGTATGAGATTTTCACGGTATGATAATCGTCTCAGAAAATATCACGGTTATCACGGTATATATTAAACAATAATTCGTATCAGTAACAATGACTCTTAAAAGAACAAGAACAAGTTATTTGAGTGAACAAATACTTTATTACAACAAACTTGAAACCATTTTAATGAAAGTATTGAAAGTATCTCCCTTCTAAAAAAAAAAAAAACATAAAAAAAAACAATAAAAAAATAAAGCTGTACACCTTATGTATATCTATATCACACTTTAACATTTTAATTAATGTTTTAAAATGTTATTAAATGAAAATGTACAACTTTTATTTTTGGCAAAGTTAAAACATGGACAAACATGATATTCCTTGAAAACAATGTTTAAATAATTTTATTATAAACAAGAATTATTATTGTTGTTATTATAACTTTGAAGTACATTGTACAATGCTAATATATTTCATCGCAATATTGGTAAAAAAAATCGCAATTAGATTATTTTCCAAAATCGTTCAGCCCTAGTATTTGATAATGGTTTTTCTCAAATAATACTAGGAAATGTTTGTTTTCTCTCAGAGCAGCTCTGCTGATGTTCGTGTTTATGTAACTTAGATGCTGAAAACACCATTTATGTATGCGTACTTCAGTATGCAGTAGATAAAACGGCGCCACTCAGAGACATGCAGAAACAAGCAGATTATTTATATAGCTCTCTTTGCACATAAATATTCACAGATTGCGCGTTTTACTTCCTCGTTATGCTGTAAATTCCTTATTCACGTCTGCACCGGGATTCCCTCTGCATCACGCAAATCATACAGCCTTAACTTATAACTTGTTATTAATGCGACACACCTTTATCTGCACGGAGGCATGGTGTCCGCGAATATGAGCGAAGATGTTGGATGTATTGCCTGCTTTTGCAGCCACTTTGCATCCACATTTTTTGCAAATTGGATCCGTCCTCAAGGACAACCCCACGTTCGTTTTTTTTAATATTCTAAGTATTCCCATACTG